TGTCTAAATAAAGGAAAAGTTTCAACGCTAGCATAGTAAAAGTATATACAGAAAGAACAATGATCAGATATTGTCTAAATTAAAAGGAAGGGTTTGAACTCTAACATAGTAAAATTATATGCAATAAGGTCAATTATCAGATAAGAATTGCATTGAATCCAAAGACAAACACATAGGCATCCTCATGAATATTAACCTTCATCAGGCGATGAAAGGAGACAGAGACAGAGACCCACATGGGAGCACCGGACAGAAATCTCAAGGTCCAAATCAGGAGCAGAAGGAGACGGAGCACAAGCAAGGAACTCAGGACCACGAGGGGTGCACCCACACACTGAGACAATGGGGATGTTCTATAGGGAACTCACCAAGGCCAGCTGGCCTAGGTCTGAAAAAGCATGGGTTAAATCCAGACTAGCTGAACATAGCGGACAATGAGGACTACTGAGAACTCAAGAACAATCGCAGTTGGTTTTTGATCCTACTGAACGTACTGGCTTTGGGGGAGCCTAGGCAGTTTGGATGCTCACCTTACTAGACCTGGATAGAGGTGGGCGGTCCTTGGGCTTCCCACAGGTCAGGGAACCCTGATTGCTCTTTGAGCAGATGAGGGAGGGGGACTTGATCGGGGGAGGGGGAGGGAAATGGGAAGTGGTTGCGGGGAGGAGGCAGAAATCCTTAATAAATAAATAAATTAAAAAAAAGAATTGCATTTACAATATCTAGTCCATTTGTATTTGGCAAATTTGGAGAAAATATTGTATTATCTATCCCATCGTAGTGAGCCCAAAATTTTATATCTAAACCTTTTTTAAATATAACTTGTATTACCATCCTAAAAATATCTTTTTAAACCTTAAAACATCTTCTTAGATGAACAACTTAAGCTTTTACGTTTATCAGACTTATAAATTTTACATCTTTTATGCAAGTTTTTTTTCTCTGAATTTCATAACAAAGTATACTATATAGCTAACCATCTAGTCTTCAATTCCCATCAGAGACCCAAGAAAGATAAAATATTACTTTAGCAAACATGAAGTTCAGAGCAAGCAACTTCCAAAACTAGGGAAATGACAGAAACAGCTGGCTGCCTGGTCAGCCGTTCACGTTTCCTCTGCGATGTGGGAGCATCGTTCCTTGGCCTACAGACTTCTCTGTGAAGCAGGATTTTTTTTTAAAGGACTGCCCTACGTTGTCTTGCCAATGTTCAACAGTTGCTTTCTTTTGTGTCCTGATTGTTCAATTTAGGCAGCATACCATCCGTCAGCAGTCATGGAGAGGGCAGCTTCTTGCCAAGTGGATAACTTTGCCATGTGAAAACACACTCCATGTGGAGGTTCTTTGATGTCCATCATCTTCTCTGAAGTAGACTGGTGCTGCCCACTGTCATGAAAAACCTTAAACATCTTAAATTTCGTATTCTGTATTTGAACATTTAGGTCTCCGAAGTATTTGAAGAACACCTGTCTATCTAAATATAGCTCTGTTTGACCTTGGAAACATACCTAACATGACCATAAATGTGTTCGTTAGATGACTAACTACTAACCATATGTATTAATTAACCTATTTTGTAATAATAACTTTCAAGGACTCAGAATTTGTATTATATTGTTAAATGAGCTGTATAGGCACAGTACCTTAAACAAGAGTAGAAACATATATACAGTATAACAAAAAGAATCATAAACATGCATCAATATACAAAAATCCATGCCGATGTAAACTATTTAAGATTAGTGTTGTGAAATATTAGTTTTAATGGGTTCAATTTGTGTATGCCGTGGAATGTTTAAATACTTATGTAAAGAGGTGTTGCATTTTTTATGTTGCATTTGTTTCACTTTACTTAAAGCTGTGTTATTTTGCCTTTCTAAAACACCTGATTGGTCTATTAAAGAACTGAATGGCCAATTGTTAGGCAGGAGAGAAAGGATAGGTGGGGCTGTCAGGCAGAGAGAATAAACAGGAGAAGAAAGAAGAGGCAGGAGCAAGAAAAGGAGGAGAGAAGGATGCCAGGATCAACCACACAGCCAGCCACGGAGTATGAAGGAAAGAGAGGTATATAGAACTGAGAAAGGTAAAAGCCCAGAGGCAAAAGGGAGACGGGATAATTTAAGAAAATCTGGCTAGAAATAAGCCAAACTAAGGCCAGGCATTCATAAGTAAGAATAAGTCTCTGTGTATTTATTTGAGAGCTGAGTGGCAAGCCCCCAAAGAGTTTTAAAAAATAAAACCTAAAGAGTAGTAGTTGCTTTTTAGTTTTAAAATAGATTCAACAATCTCCAAGCCCATTCCTTCCTTTCCCTTCCTCCCGGAACACAGCTGGTCCTAGGGCACAGTGCCTGAGCTCTGTCCACTCCCACCCTCTAACTGAGAAGACCCGGAGCACAGGGATTCCTTTTGTGGACACTGAGTGACCCCAAGGGGGAGCCTGTGAAGATCCCTGGGTGTGAACCTAGCTGGCTAGTACATTGAAAAGCAGCCTGGTATGATGGCCTCCATGTCTGGCTTTCTGACCTGACCTGTTTTTTCATTTTCCTAGTTATAACATTGGTGGAATGTGGGACAGTAATCAAAGACCAGGTCACATTTCTCAGTTCCCATAATCCTTTATCCCAGGTTGCTCATAGCATTTCACAGTTCACCTCCAGCTGTCGCTCATGGTCCATCTGCTAGGGATGCAAACATGAGGTCCTCTTTTGACTGATGATAAAACAGGCAACCATTGCCAAGTCATAGGTGCCTTTCCCCATTTGCTTGTTTGTTTGCTTATTTATTCATTGAATGAATATTTGTCAAGTGCTTCCTGTGTGCTGTGCACCATGCGAGCCCTGCTGGTAAGCATCAGGCATCATCAATTTCTGACTCCAAGGACAGTCTGTGCCCCTAGGGAGACACGGCCTTTTTCTGCCCTACTTTTTTGAATGGGGGCATAGAAACAGACTGTCTCCCATTTGCTTACCTAATTACTGGACAAGACTCACAACCATGGCTGCTAAGTCTATCTGGATAGTCTATGCATTGCACAACTTCAGGAGGAGTTTTGCAATGGAAGTTCTGCACTGGGGTCCAGCTCAGATGCCGCTGAGACTTCTTTAGCTCTGTTAGAAAGGGTACCAGTACGTTAGAGGGCTGGGAGCTCGACCTTAGGGAGTATCTTCTCCAGCCCAGCTGGTAGGCTAAAGTGCAGAATGCTGACCACCCTCTGTGGTGTGTCTTGAAGTTTTCTCTGTGCTGCCTCCATCCAATCCATACAGCTTCTGACTTCACCTGGCATCATTCACCATGTAAGCAGAAGATGCCCACTGCCATGTTCCTCAGCCTACTGGTCTTCACTGAAGTCCACTGCACTGAGAATCAGATGCTTGACCAGAATAGAGATTCTTCCTCTGCTGGCATGAGAGCTTGTAGACCTATGGGGAATTTAAAAGAAGCAGGGCAGCCCAGTGGCAGATGGGAACTTGGGTCATCCAAGTGCTTCACAGAGCACGTCCCCCCTGCATAGCATCCTTCCAGCCCCAGACCCAAATCACCAAAAGCGATTCCATCAAGGTCATCTCAAGGCCTCAGAGATCCACTCCAGCGAGCAAGCATCACTGCTTGAATCATCCCTTTGAGTTTTAGCATGGTCCTAAGCTGGGCATGATGGATGCCCTGGTAAAGGAAGGCTGGGCTCAGATACCAGGATCCCCTCTGCTCCTCCTCAGGGCATGATGCTTTCCCTTCTGGGTCTGGATTCCATGCTTGATGGAGTCAACAGTTTTAACCATTGCACTCACAATGTAGGAAGAAACAGAACTTCCTGTGCCTCACAGGGACCAGCAGGGGAGGCACAGCCTGGCTGTAGCAGGCAGGAAGCAAAGTAGGGAATCTGCACATGTGTCTCTGGGGCCCATAGGAAAGAACTGTGGCAGGCCAGCCAGGTGGTGTGACGCAAAGTATGCCTGCATCTATCTACATGCACTCTGAGCATGCCCAGTGTGCTCTGCACAGTTCAGGAGCTCCAGCAGCTGAGAACCAGGAAGCACTGCCTCGGCTGCCTGGAAGCCAGACCATCAGCTTCTTGGCCAGGACACACGTTATGATTGACTTTAAGAGACAGTAATTCGTGTTGGGTGTATGTCCAGTGGAATGGTATCTGTGTGTACGTGCACACGTGTGTGAGCACATGTTGGAGAGCTGCCGTGCACATGTACATCCACTTGCATATTTCAAGGTTGCAATGGGTTCTCCTCTCATGTGTGATCTGTGCTCAACAGGACAGCAAGGTCCCGGGGTGTAGATACTGGAGTAGGGGATAGGGAGGCAGGGATTTAATTTGTATGTATGTCTGTGTGTACATAAGTATGTATGCATGTATGTTAAGATAAATTAAAACAATTAAGTTCTGTCTAGATTCTGTGATGGATGTTATTAACATCAGTTTGGTGGAGAAGGGAGTCTGGGGATATAAGAATGGTCCACGTGCCTTTCACCCAGTCCTTTTCTGAGGGTGGCCCCTCCATTCCTACAAGGCAGGGAAAAGGTAAAGGGCTATAGTGAGGGACCTGCAGCACAGCTTTGGTCGGCACAGGGACTTCCCACTATGGACAGCGAGTGGAGCTGCCATGATGGGGCCACCTTCATTTGCCAACGCTTTGCTGAGCGCTATGTGTCCTGTTGAGTTCCCAGTTCACTCACCCCATGAACACTGCATAATGTTTCTTGATGTGGTGAGCACCGTGGTGAGTGCCCACAGCAGATAGGTGCAGGGGAGGACAGGTGGACACCCCCCTTCTTTTGATTTTAATTCATTGAATTAGGACCAGAACTAGTGCTCAGGCCCTCTCTGCTTGAGAGCATCTAAACCAATCCTCTCTGGGGACCTGTGTTTGCATTAGTCTGTCTGAACGTGTTCTGGAGATGGCACTATGTGATACTCATATGGAGAGGACGCAGGATGCTCCCAGGAGGGACCAGAGGACCTTTCTAAATTGCTACCACTCTCCCTGCAGAGTGGCGGCAAGGAAGTGGGGCAAGGATGATCCTACAGGATGAAGATATCACCACCAAGATCGAGAATGACTGGAAGAGACTCAACACGGTAGCCCACTACCAGGTGAGCTGACGACAGAAGCCAGGAGCTGGTCAAGTAGGTTGTAAATTGCAGCCACTCAAGGTTAGACCCCAAGTCCCCAATGCATTATACACCAGCAATCCATGACCCTTGGTGACCCCATGGGAGCTAATGTCACCCAGTCAGAGATCCTTAGCCTCTTTGGAGATAGGATGGTGACATGCATGTTTCTTGTAGGGCATGGACCCTTGCTTAGAAGGCCTCCTGAACATTTAATTCTGGGTGATTTCCAGAAAGCCTAGGGAGGGAAAAAGTGAGGGGAGGGGCGGCTCCTGCCAGAACTTATTCCCACAGAAGCCCTAAAGCTGCTAGTACTAAGGTCTTTGTCTTGTCTTATCAAAAGGGAAAGGAATGGACTCCAAAGCCCAAGTTCCTGACAAAGTGCTAATTGTCCCTCATTCCCCCATATAATCCTAATTTGCCCCCTTTTTCCTGGAATGGGTGGGAAGAGATTCCATGCCCAAGCCCTTAGAAGCCTTTACCCTGTAGGTGCCAGATGGCTCTGTGGTGGCTTTAGTGTCCAAGCAAGTGACAGCCTACAATGCAGGGAACAACTCCACAGTCTCCAGGACTTCAGCAAGTAAATATGGTAAGATCTCACCAGGCGTCAGGAGTGGGAGGTAGGCACATCCTGAGCAGGTGTTGTCAACAGACCTCATTGGCTTGGGTAGAGGATCAGGTCAGCTGACCACTGGGGAAGAGAGCCAGGATGGGACAGAGGTAACCGGTTCCCATCACTAGCTTTGAGTCATAAATATGTACTTTATCTGTGGGCAAAAAGAAATTTGGGGCCAGGAATAGCTGAATTGGTAAAGGGTCCTGAAGGCATGAGGATCTAAGTTCGATCCCAAGAACCAAAGTGAAAATGCCAGGCATGGCGAGATGTACTTGTAATCTCAGCTCTGGGAAGTGGAGATAGGAGGAGACCTCGAGCTTACTGGCTATCCAGCTTAGCATAATGGTGAGCTGTTCAGTGAGAGTACCCGTCTCAAAAATCAAGAGGGATGGCATCTATGAAATGACACCCAGGGTTGACATCTGACTTCCATATATGTACATACACATATGCATGCTCACCAAAGAGAGAGAGAAAAAGACACACAAATACACACACACACACACACACAGAGAGAGAGAGAGAGAGAGAGAGAGAGAGAACCCACCCTTCATGAGGTCATACAGTCTATAAGTCTTACCTTCCCATCATCTCATATCAAGCACACAATAATCTAGTGAATTAAATAATTGTTATTTCATTGGTAAGCTATAATTCAACAGCACAGAGGTCAAAAGACCGGTAAAGGTCACACAGTCATTGTGCCGTGTTGTGAAAGGGAAGGAGGGAAAGGGCTCTGGGTGTAAGGCGGAAGTCCAGAAATGGCCTGCTCTGTCACGTGTGTGCTGGGGGACATCTGACCACCCTGAGCAGTGGCATTCTTGTTGTCGAGCAGGGATTCGGGAAAAAGGGCAAACCTCACAGGGTATTGTGGATGCTAAGAGGGTGAACATATAGGTCACACGTGGACAGAGTAGGACATTATCCTCTCCCTGTTCAGTTCCCATTTTACCACAATTAAAATATGGGAAGGACGTTCAGCAAGAAGTTAGAAGGAGTGTCCCAGGCCAGAGGGAGGCAAAGACAAACAGATGCCCTGGTGAGCCCTCCCCTGACCACTTCACCTGAGTCTTTAAGGGAGACAGGCTACCTGTTCTTACTTAAGCATTTAATTGGTCACACCTGCCACAGGACTTGCAAACCTGCACAAGGAAAAGTGTAAAAGAAGTACAAGCTTACATTTTTACAAATGGAATAATTAAGGGTTGACTCAATGCCAAGTACAGAAGGAGGGCGGCCTAAGTGGGTGGAATTCGCGACAGATAATTCCTGGAAGTGGCAGGAAAGACATACCGCATTTCGGGGAATGTGCCACGCGGAGGCAAGGTAGCAGCGCCAGCCAGTGGCAGGAAGGATCAGACAAGAGTGGCCTGGCTGGGGAGAGGAGCATGCCGGGAGTTGCCGGGTCCAGGACTCTACGGACTTACTTGTACCGGGCTGCATTCTTTGCTTCGGCAGAAAACATGATCCGGTACACAGGCAGCCCTGACAGCCTCCGTTCCCGAACACCCATGATCACCCCTGATCTGGAAAGTGGAGTCAAGTTGTGGCATCTGGTGAAGAACCATGAGCATGGAGATCAGAAGGAAGGGGACCGGGGGAGCAAGATGGTGTCTGAAATCTATCTGACACGACTATTAGCCACAAAGGTATGGAACGTGAGAGCCGTGTGCAGGGGGTCCCAGTGGTCACAGGAAGGGCCTTTGCCTGCCATGAAAAAACCCGGGCCAAGGGCTGAGGACATGGCTTAGTTGGTAAAGAGCTTGCTAGGCAAGCCTGAGAGCCCAAGTGTGATAGCCTCATTAAAAAGACAAGCTGTGCACAGCGCCTTGCGTGTGTGTGTGTGTGTGTGTGTGTGTGTGTGTGCGGGGGGGGCTGAGAAAGGAGACTACCTGGGATTTGCTGGCCAGCCAGTTTAGCCAAATCTCAAGTTCCAGGTTCAGCAAAAATTCTGTCTCAAAATCTGTGGAGAGAAGCTAGGTGGTGGTGGTGCCACCTTTAATGCCAGCACTCGGGAGGCAGAGGCAGGCGGATCTCTGTGAGTTCGAGGCCAGCCTGGTCTACAAGAGCGAGTTCCGGGACAGGCACCAAAGCTACAGAGAAACCCTGTCTTGAAAAAACAAAACAAACAAAAATCTGTGGAGAGGGATCGAGGAAGATACTTTGCGGTTGTCCTCTGGTTTCCAGATACATACACACGTGTGTACATACAACTGTGCACATACGTGCCCACACATCACACATACATAATTGCTCACACAGTTGCTAAGTGTGTGCCAGCCCCTTCTGTTGCCCTCTGGCCTCAGGCACTGTCATGAGCCTGGGATCCAGCTCAACCTGTCACTCCGGGCAGATCCCGGCAGACATGATCACACAATCTGAAGTTTTATATCCCCACCCTCCTCAGCACCCTTCCTCGGCTATAGACACATGCGACACCTATTCCCATTCATTCCAGGGGTGCCACGGACCATCGCTAAGGATGGAGACTGGGACTGTAGCCATAGCTTTGCTGATGCCCTTTCTAATCCTGAGGCTGGGGTTAGTCCACGCCTACTGTTCCAGCCTTTCTCCTCAGAGTCTGGGTTCGCAGGTCTCTCTGTGGACCCAGATGGTCATTAGCCAGGATGGGCAGTGGCCAAACAGGGCCAGCAGATTGTATTCGTGAGCTCTGACCAAGCAGGCTCGTTAGCGTTTTCAAAAAGTGATACAAGGTCACCAGCAAAGATGTGCGGCCAAATTCTGTAGCTGGCAGGGGAAGGTGGTTTGGGCTCTGGCTTCTGGCTTCTGCCTGTTGTCCGTGCACAGAGGAAAGGTACAACCGCCAGAGACCTGCAGCGGGGGGGGGGGGGGGGGAGGGGAGGTCTGGTGCACAGTGTCCCCCGATGTCATGACCTCGCCTGCCCTGTCCCCAAGGCAGCTTGCTGGGCTAGATCTAAATGTGTCCCCCTTCCCCAGGGCACACTGCAGAAGTTTGTGGATGACCTGTTCGAGACCATCTTCAGCACAGCCCACCGTGGCTCTGCTCTGCCCCTGGCCATCAAGTACATGTTTGACTTCCTCGATGAGCAGGCAGACAAGCATGGCATCCATGACCCGCACGTCCGCCACACCTGGAAGAGCAACTGGTGAGTAAAGGGAGAAAAGGGCAGTCCGGAGAGGCACTGACTTGCCCACCCCTGGGGCCTCTGTCAGGGAGGTGGGGTTTCTGGAGAGGTCCTGGCCACTGTCTACCTCCTACCAGGGTCTCTTCTCTTCCTCATCTTCTCCCCTCCACCTCCTCTCATCCCTCTTTGTACCTTCCTCTCCAGCCAGTTCTTCAGTCAACAAACTATACTAATCCAAGGAGCAAAAGCTACCATATGCCACCCTAGCCAGGCCCCTGCCACATCTAGCCACTTTATGGATGTGGAAGTTCGATATGTCCAACAAAGATCTCAGGGTTCCTGTCCTCGGTAAGCTGCAGATGTGGATATGGGATGAGAGAGGCGGTTGTCTGGATATGTGGACAAATACTAGCACAGAGAAATGCCTGAGCTGGACAGGGCCACTGAGGAACAGCATTTCATAAAGTCTTGTCAGTAGGGTTTTGGGGTGCATGCACATGGCCCCTGGATTCCAATTACACCCAATAAGCTTATCTCTTTGTTTCCCCCCGCACTCTTTTCCAAAAGCTGCTGAGGATCATTTTGTGCTCCCTGGAGGCCACAGGACTGTCTTACTACTGACAACCCTCCAATCATCTCCACTGCGGTCCCCTCTCTCCTCTGAGTGCACAGTATCTTCCCTGCCATCTGTATATCGTGAGGGTTTCATTTGAGGTTGAAGTCACAAGGCCAAGCATCAGTATTCAACACAGGATGCAGGACCTTGAGGAAATGGGGCTCGGTAAATATTGATGAGACGCAGGCAGGGATGGCCTGCTTGAGAGGTTTGCCTGTGGCAGAGCTAGCTGATGTTCAGTCTCATCCTAGAACTGCATCCTTGTCGCCTTTCCAGGCCACTATGCCCCTGCTTTTCCTTCTAATGCAGCATGGATGTGGCACCTGGTGCTAACTACTCGGATTGCTCGTGTTCCAGAGTAGAAGTGGGTACCCTGATGCCCAGCCAGGGGCCCAGACACGAAAACAGAGGAAGAAGTCAGCCTGGGGAAACAGTGCTATTCTCCTGAGCATGCTGTGGCCTTTCCCTCTTCCACTTGTAGAGGAGTGGGAGCCCAAAAAGAGGCTCATCCCAAGCAGCAGAGTCCTTACCGTAGTCCTTTTAAAGCAGGGCCCCTAGAATCCAGGTTCCATTATATGCAGCCACTCTGGTGAGGTGGCTTCCTCCTCTCAAATCCAGTGTCGGTCACCTTCACATCAAGCAGGTGCTCCATCAAGCCCTATCCATGTTGGCCAGAGATACATGATTTTGCAAGCAACCTCTAGGTGCCATCCTCCTTTCTGGGTCATCCCAAGGTCCCAGGTGCGACACAGAGACATGGACTGGGCAATGGAAAGCTAGGGAATTAAGTACACTCCACTTGTTGTAGAAAGAACTGCACCAGCTTCAAGTTCTCCCTAAAAGGGCATCTCCTGCCCCAGCCTGATCCCCTGGTTCCTTGGTCAAGACATAGTTAGGAATCACTTCTGCCAGTGGACTGGAGTTTATTGTCCCTGCTGCGGGCATTGTCTCTTTATTCCTGACTCAAGGTGTGACTTGCCTGCCTCCCCCACCCCTCCTTCTGCAGTTCCCTACAGGTTCTCTGTTAAATAACACTCCCTCTCATTTAGCCAGAGTGGCTGTAATCAGCCAGAGATGAGCATCACCACGGATGTTAATAGCATGCTAATATTTCATTAGGCAGGGGCCTCAGTGGCGCCTCTGCTTCCTGTGTGGTACACCTGCCTACCTACTGACTTGAGGAACAGTAAAAAATGGTGACTGCAGCCACGTGGGTTCCCAGGACCTCTGATCTGAGCGGGGCTTAGGGAAACCCAGGGAGATTGGGGTAGCAGAGTTGACTGGTAGGGAAACTTGATCTCTGAATATTTAGAGTTCTAAGCCCAGAGCTCTTAGCCGCATTTTAGTGAGGTTGAGAAGCTAATGTACGCATGGGCTCTCATTCCATTTACTTTTTACTCTGGATTCCCAGCGATGAAGCAAGTGACAGACACCAAATATTAGCAAACCTCAGTGTGCCTGCCCCAGCCCTACGTGGCACTCATTGTAAAGACTTAATAAATTCTTATTGATTGATTGGCATCTGTGAATGTCAGGTCATCCTTTATATACAGTGTTTGTTGTTTGTATTATACAGACTGGCTGCTGCCAGGTAGAATAAGAGCAAAAAAAAAAAAAAAACATTGTATCCGATGCCTTGAAATAATGTAATTCAAAGATGTTAAGTTCTAAGAGGCAAGCCAAACACGACCGGGCATTCTAACTATCACCAACCGTGAGCACAGCCACCAAAACAACAATAAAACATCAGGAAAAGAGGTGGGAGGCAAAGAGGTGGGAGTAAAGAGAAAGAAGAAAGCCATGCCTGCACTGTCCCCTCCTTACTGGCAGCTCAGCTGGCTGGTGGGAGCTGCAGAGCTAGAACGGGCAGGGAGAGCACAGCTCAAAGAGGCATTGGGAAGTCCTTCCTCCTCCAGGCCTTCTGTCTAGCAAATGCAGGGACTGCAGAATCAGGACACATTGCATAATTTTCTCCTCTTTGTCTCTGTATGTGGATTCCCTACTTGCAGCCCATCCAAGGAATACACCTATGCAGTGTTTTAAAATAACTCAAACGTGGGCCTGGGGATGTTTGAGCCCTGAGTTTGCTCTTCAACACTACCTAAAGCTGTGTGTTGTGGTGCACACATAGAAGAGGCAAAAGGATCCTCAGATGCATGATAAATTTAAGGACAGCCTGGGTTACACGAGAGTCTATCTCAAAAGAATGGGGGGATGGGGAACTGGGAAGATGGTTTGGTTGGTAAAGTGCTTGGCATGCATGCATGAGGACCTGAGTTCAGTCCTCAGCACCCATAGAAGATTATGATGGTATCCACTTGTAAGTTAGCAAAGCAATAGGGTTTCCGAGGATTTCTGGCCAGCCAACCTAGCCTAGTCAGTGAGCCCCAGGTCAATAAGAGACCCTGTCTCAAAAGAGCAAACTAAAAATACAAGGCTATAGGGTGACCTCTAGCCTCCACATGTACAAACACACAGATAGATCCCCCTTCTTCCAACAAAAACACACAGCAGCACCAGCAACAATGAAGAACAAACTTATCAAGTGTCCCCTATGAAAAGGCTCTCTGCGTGGGCTGCTCTGAGTAAATTTGGCACCTAGCTCAGTCCAACATCCTCTGCTCTCGATATGAAGTGCTATTTGTGTGCCTTTGACTGTATGTGTCTTCCCTACAAACCTGAAATTCAGGATTCCTCAGTGATGGGATGTGTCTCAGTCATTGTATTCCCTGTTGCTATCCTAGTTCTTGGAAGGCAATAGGTACTGACTGGAAGACAGGAGGGGAGGGATGGGACACTATGGATTAGATAAGGGGTTGGTGCTATGTGGCAGCCTGGTGGTTTAAAAAAATCATTTGATTACATCCACCCTTAGAGCCAGTTCCTTTACCAGGCAGGAAGTAGCCTGTGGCACTAGAGAGGAAGCAAGGGGGTGACTTCTGCCAAATCATCAGTTGCAAAACCTAGATTCCTAATGAAATGGTCCCAACACCAGGAAGACAAGAATAAAGAACCAAATTCTGCTTTAATGCATTTACTTGGGTAACTCCTACACCAAAAGGAAGGTGCAGAATTCTACATCACAACTGGGTATCACGGCCCCTCAAGTTTCTCCAGTGGTCCATCTCTAGATGACACCCTGACCTTATTGATTTCCTGTATGCTGAATAGACCCACATCCTTCCTGTCCCCTGTCCCATGGCAGCCACAGACGGGTCCTGCGCTCTATGAAATCTAACTGTTCCTTCTTGGAAGGCTCCACCAAGGTACACCCCCCTACCCCATCAGCCCTGACCAGCTGCTTCTTCCCTCCACACAGCCTGCCCCTGCGGTTTTGGGTGAACATGATCAAGAACCCTCAGTTCGTGTTCGACATCCATAAGAACAGCATCACGGATGCCTGTCTGTCTGTGGTGGCCCAGACCTTCATGGACTCCTGCTCCACTTCAGAGCACCGGCTGGGCAAGGACTCCCCGTCCAACAAACTGCTGTATGCCAAGGATATCCCCAGCTACAAGAACTGGGTGGAGAGGTGAGTGTTAGTCCATGGAAACCTGAGGGTGCCTGGCTGGAGCAGGTCCTGGGTCAGAGAGTCCTCCGGCAAGCAGGGCAAAGCTTCCAGACTAGTCGCTGTCACAGCTGGTCCTGCAGCTGAAACACCCACAACTCATAGCCTCCACATTGAAGCAAGCACTAGAAACCATGGCAGAGCTTTCTGTGTGACCCACGTCTTTATATGGAACAGCATGGATCTTAGTGACTGAAGTGTCTCTTTGGCCCAGAAGGAGATGTGATTCCTGATCTTCCCTCCCTAACCAATACACACAGACACACAGACACACACACACACACACACACACACACACACACACACACACTAATGCATACATCCACACATATATTACACACACATGCTTAGCATATATACCCTGCATGTCTACAGACCATATACACATGCATTCACAGTATTGCAGGAATGCACAGGCACCATGAACACATCTGTGTATATATATGTACATGTATATACATGAAATCACCAGTGGATACATATACATACCTCCATGCCATCCATGTCCATTTACATACATACCGTACATATAGTACACACACATGCATTCATGGCATACTTCTTCCCAGTCGTCCTTCCACCATCCTTTCTCCAGCCTTCCACCCCACTTCTGCCTCTGCACACCTCCTAATGGTAATGGTGCTGACCTCCCGCAGTCTGTGCACCTTTCCTCTCCCCATTGGGGTTCTGCTTGTGGTTAAATTTGGGCAGAGAGGAAAGCCTCTTGCTTTCTTCAGAATTGTTGACTGCTGCACTGACCTCACTGAGCAAACCCAACGTGCAGACTCCTGAAGCTGGCATATGATTGGCTATCATTTCTATTGTATTTCCAGTAACCGTGAACTCTACTTTTATTTGACTTGGCTTTTCTTTGTTTTGCCGTTGTTTGTTTGAAGATGATTGTTTTATTTATTATACAAAGGAATGGGCTTTATCATGACATCTTCTGCATGAATATCCTGCCCTCTGCCTACATGTACTCCATTACCCTCTGATCTCCTGATTTTCTTAGATTTTAACTGGGAGAACATCAAGGGTGTCCCTATCAACATGAGCCCCGCTAATTTATCCTCTGTAGATTTTGTCTGTAGAAGCGAAGTAGAGAAGAGCTGCTGTTGGCCCACTAGGGACTGCACCATGGTGTGCCATGCATTAAATGCCATCTATGACATGCACCATAGCATCAAGAAAGCAACAAATTTCAAATATGTAAATACACCAAATGGATTCTGTGCCATCCAGCTATCAGTCAAGGCTCATCAAGATCCCTGGCTTTTGTTACAGATGAAATTAACATTGACCCTGGTAGCAGCACTGAGGGCAGGCTGGGCAGCTGGTTTTTCATGCTTACGTCCACCAAGCTGACAGTGGTACCTCCATGGGCTCCACTCTGGGTGTACTGGGAACATGGGAAAGGTTGCACCTGACCCTTTCAGCTTGTGATTCCCACATCAGAGTGTCTGGCAGGCTCCACAAGCTGAAGTTGAGGGGGTAAAGGAGCAAGGCCTTTATTCTGCTGGGTCTGGAGACATCACTCATCCACATCGGTCATTCACAGAGGCCCCTGAAAGCCACAGTTTGAGGTCATCACAGCCCGAGGCTCAAGATGGCTTTCATGTCTGCACTCCTGCCCTCTTACCATTACTCTCAGGTGACGATTCCTTCCAGATTCTTTCAACCCATCCCATCCAGATTCATGCACATGGAAGTATCCAGCTCCCTGAGCTATGATGTGGGGCCCCAGGGGCTGGCATCCCGCCTAAGTTGGGCAAATCCCAGCAAGGAGAGAGAACTGAGACCAGGGTGGGACCCAGCCTCTCCTTGTGAGAGCAAATGGCAGTCAGCCTTCCAGGTTGCCAGGGCTGGCCAGCTCTTGTATAGGAAAGCGGGTCTAGCAGATGTTCGGTAACTCTCTGAAGAGGGGGCTCATTTGTAGGTAGAAATCCTGTAAGTTCAAGGGGGCGGGGGTCAAGGCTGACCTTTCTGTTCTTCGCATGCAGTCAGCAGATGAGAGCTCTTGTTTGAAGTTCATTGTCAGGGTTTTATTGCATTCTTAACAATCAATAAAGCATCTCAGCTGAGGTCCCAGCATGAAGGCCAGCTTGGCAGGAGTGGGAAGGAAGCAATTGTATACATGGCAGAGAAGATTCCATGCAGGGTCATGGTCAGGCTTGAAGGGGGGGCAGGTTGGCTAGCTGTGGGCTGGACAGTGCTCTGGAGCAGGTGGAAATATTTGTTAAGCCCTGCAGAGAGGGTGGGACCACTTAGCAGCAGGCAGCCTGGGACTGAGAACGAGGTAGAAAGCCAGTGACTTGAGTAGCCTGTAGCCACTTGCCTCCACCCATCTAGAACTTTCTAAAGATAAGGCCATGTAGTTGATCCACCTGGGGGCTAGCGGAGGACCACAGACATGCCCTGGTTCAGTTCATTCTCCTCAAGGAAAGAGGAGTGTGATATGAGACCACCTTGGGGGGCTGGGGGGAGACCACACGACACAGCTAATGTCACATCAGGGAGAGCAGGGAGAGGGACTGCAAGATCCATGCCAGTCAGCCAGAATGTCACCCATCACCTTCAGATGAGAAGGTTCCAGTCCACTCTTATTTTTCCAACTTTCTCCATCCTCTCTCATCTCATCACCTGCCCCCTCCCCCATGAATTCTTCCTAAATATTCTTTTCGGAGAAATATATTACTCAAGCACCCTGCAGGAGGCAAACTGTTGCTAGGGAGAGATGTTGAGCATCTTCTGTTTCTGGCCTGGAAAAGGTCCTCTCACTATGTAGACAGTGATCTCTAGCCTAGGCTGCTAAGCTCATCAGGGACCACGAAGGCAGCAGTAGGGGCCTGTACCGTTTCTAAGTAGCATGGCACCTTCACACGCAGGTAACAAGGAACAGCAGGGGCCTTCACTTCTGTTGACAGTTACGTCCTCTCTGTGGGAACCTGAGTTTTCCATCCTACTCAGAGACTCTGGTTTTTTAAGGATGACAGAGTAGAATTGTCTGGACAAAAGCTTTGGGCACAGCCACGGTCCATGAGCTGCTGGAAGTGAGAGAAAATACTGTTCATGCTTCTCAGGAAAAGGATCGCAAAGATAACATTCCATGGGCAAACCTATCTTGCTTGGTAGTTATGGCATCCATGAGGGCACAGTGGCGCAAATCTCCTTGGCAATGACAAGGTCGGGACCCATCAGTGAAACCTATGTTCTTCTGCTATAAAATGGAAGGTTGGCATTTATTAGATCCAGATATAGTTTTATTCGTGGCCATGAGTGGCGACACCTCCTGGACCTTTACTGCCTGGAATGTCACTAACTCACCCGAACCTTCTGCATTGGAGCACTGATACAGAGCTTTAGTGTGAAGACTACCTTGGAAAAATAGTTGTCTTCTGGGGTAAAAGGAACCAAAATGAAGTAGGTCAAGGATGGGAGGACTATGGGCTTCTGGGGACCAGAAAGGAATGGGAGAGAGCATTGTGAAGGGCAGGAAGAAGTCCAGATGAACCAAGGACAGCATATCTTCTTATGTCCCCAAGCTGCTTCCTGAAAAAAACTCATCATTCAGCCTGTGTCTTACTCTTGCCTAGGCTGAAGGTAAAGGACCAATACCTCCTTGCCAGTCACAGCAGGATCCACTCAACAGGCAGTGGGCACTGTGTCTGCTTCAGGGAATGGGTTTCTGAGGCCACAGGTGTTTCCCTCTGATCCATCCCCTTCCCTGGCCAGAGACCAGATGTCTTCTCCTCACCTCTTCTTCCCCGAAGACACAACAGCAATCCCAGAAGACTGTAGCCCAAGGCAAACAGTCATCTCAGCCCTTGCCTTCCCAGGAAGATGTTGGTCACAAATTGAGCTGTCATTTATTGTAGCCTGGAGCTGATGGCTGGAGGAGCCAAGACCATTTCTGACAGCCTGTCGTCTAAGTACGGGGCACTGCTGGAGACAGACAGAAGTCAGGGAAATGGCATGGGAATAAGGCAGGAGCACCCTGTCAGAACAGAAAGAGATATAAGCTGAGAAAGACACGGAGCAGGGCCGGTGTGGGGGTCACCTTGTGAAGGAAGCCTTTGAGGCCTCATCACGGACACAAGTGCTCATAACAACTTAAAGGAGTTTCCCTCCTTAAATACCACATTGGCACCCCACCTGTCTTACCTAGTCCCTTCCCTGGACTCTCTTCTCCCTCCCCCTATTCTAGTTCCTCCTGCTGCTGGCTTCAGCCCTGCAGCCCAGGGACTTGGTGTGACCTGGGCCAGCAACTGCAATGCCTCTTGACTTGCAAGTGACACCCTGTCTTCGCAGTTGCCTCCTCTCTTTTTCCTGCTACCAACAACCCCAAAGCACATTGTAGAGGATGAAAAAGTGGCCATGTTAGGGGCGCAGAGACCTCTCCTTTCCTCATTAGGAAACTACGCAGCTCTCCTCCGGCGGGGGACTCGGAGGTCTGGTGCATAAAATGTCAAATTGCAGAAATTAAAAATGTAAATGCTGGCTTCTAATTAACCAGTTGACAGCAGTGCACAGCTGCAAGTGACAGTGACTGATTGCCTTCTGCCAGCCTCTCTCTCCCAGCAACCTCCGCCCCCCTCCTCTCTCCCCTAACCCCCAGAGAGCACAGGCCATCAGGGAAGAGCAACTGTTCAGAGGAACTCTCCATCCCTGCTGGGGAGGCACAAGGCAAGCTGGAGCTCTGTGCCAGGAGCAGGGAACAGAGGAGATGCTCTGGGCAGAAGCCCTCTGACTCTTGGTTCTTCTCTAATCCTCCATGTCCTTCCCTCTGTGCCCCCTATGTCAGAGCTGCAGAGCGCTCTCTCTGGCTGTGACACTGAAGCCAAGATGGGACGCTGTTCCGCTCCGCGGGTCGTCACAGAATCTCACCGCTTGGAGCTCCCGTGTCTCCTCAGATGCTCTATAGATTCCAGTTCCTCTCTGTCTCCCACCCCTCACAGGTATTACTCAGACATCGGGAAGATGCCAGCGATCAGTGACCAGGACATGAACGCGTACCTGGCCGAGCAGTCGCGAATGCACATGAACGAATTCAACACGATGAGCGCCCTCTCCGAGATCTTCTCTTACGTGGGCAAATACAGTGAAGAGGTAAGCTTTGCCCTGCCCTGCCAGGGCCTGGAGAGGCAGAGATGTGGGCGTGTCTGAATGCTTCATGTACAAAAACAGCTCCACGGTTGCCCCCCCTGATACCTCTATTAGGGAAATTCTACCAGCCAGACCTAGGACAGTATTGTGGGACGGAAATGGGCACTGAGAATGATCCAATCCTTTTATCTGCACCAACTCCTATTCTCGGATATAGAAATTTCTTTTATTCCTCTCTACCCCTTGCCCTGGGACCGAATCCAAGGCCTCCCACACGCTAGGCAAGAGTTCTACCACTTTTTGAGATAGTCTCCAGAAATTGGCCAGGCTAATCTTGAGTTCATTTGGCACCCCCAGGCCTCAGCCTGACCTTGAACTTGTCTCCTGCCTCAGTCTTCCAGACTTTCTAGGAATACAGCGTGCCCCACCAGCCCTAGCTTATTCTTTCTCCATTATTGCCTTTAAATTCTTTTCATTTTCCTCTCTGATCTAATTCTCTTTGAGCAAGGATTTCATCACCTTTATTGATGACATAGTATATTATGGCATCCCGTGGAGTCGAACAGACCAGAGCAGAATAGAAACAGAATGGAATAGGATGGAGTCCAATGGAAGAGGCTGGAACAGAAGAATAGGGTGGAATAGATGGGCAGAATAGAAAAGAATGGAAACGAATGAGCATGAACAAAACCAGAATAGGATAGGGGTGGAAAGCATGTATTTTTCATTGTTGTACCTGGGTAACGGCCACTAAAGATTCTGCCTTCATTCCGGTTAACATAAAAGCACTATGGGAGTTGTTTAGCCGTGCAGACACAGACTTATGTGGTTTGGGATCTAGAGTCCCTGCCTCCAAGCACACAATAGCAGTCTTCTTGGAGCAGAAAGTAATACTAAGAGCTGAAGCCAGTGCCCAGGCTCTCTTATTCCTTACAGCCTTGCCACCCAGAGAAGCTTAAGAACCCTGTTACCAGACCCCAGCAGGTCCAGAGCCCAGTGTCCTACAGGCCATGAACAACATATTGTATGGCCCTAATGTTAACAGAAAGTGGTGGTGAGTCTCCTAGGGGAGGGACTGCTACCACCAGTCTCCAGACCAGTTATGGTCCAGGGCAAAGTGTTCCTGTTTGGGGCAGTCAAGCTCATAAGGCTGTGTCTCCTGCTTTGTCTTGAAAAGAGCCATCCCTTCCCCTACCAGAACACTTGTCTACTTTTAGTATTATAGCAGTACAGGACAAGTCCTGGCCATCTCAGTAGGCAACTCTAGCCTTATGTCCCCAATTAAATATGCATTAATTAGTCATAACATACGAAGCCCACAGAGCCTCCAGGCTGCCTTGGCCACCCTTCTTTGTTCTCCAACCCTCATCCCTGCCCTTCAGACCAGAGAACATCCCATCCTGCTTGTCTGGTGCCCCATGTCGAGCAGGCATTGTGCCTAGGGTGCTCATGTGTGTGACCTGGCCTTAACCACTGAACCCAAGCAAAGCAGAGGTGGACTCCAGAGAAGCAAGCATGATCCATCAGAAAGATCATGTTTCACCTCAGGTCACCATGCTGGCAACGGGCAGAGCCATGACTCAATCTGGCTTGTCTTGAGTCTCTGGGAAATCCCAGAACCTTTCCACAAACACCACCATCACCCATCATTGTCCTCTATCAATCACCTGGCTACAGAAACAGGTTTGGGTGACCTTAGCCACTATGCACCAATTATAGTCTAGGGATGGAAAGCGTGTTCAACTTACAACCTCGCTCCTTTAGGGATATTTGGCTTTTAACAGGCAAAATTAAGCCAACTGGCTTTCTAAATGTGGATATTTGGGCTCCAAGGAGCTGCTGAGGAAGCTCTTCCTCATATTGGAAGGAAAGGTAGGACTTGCTAATATCAGAAAAGCACACTCTGGCCCCCAGCACCCCACTTGTGCACTGTCTATGGAACACCCCCCCCCCAGATGCCATTGAGACTGTAGGTGCCAGTGGCTTCTCTGTATAGGCGTCCTCAGCAAAGCTTCTCCTCCTGCCGGCTGTCTCTCACAGACAATGGGACGCACACATTATCAGACATGAGGGAGGATGTTTTGGCGTCCTGTGCTGCTGGTGACACGGGTGCCCATATGCCTCCCACCTCCCCTACCCGTGTCTCTCAGGCTGCTAGCTTACATAGCACTGGCAGTAGCAGCAGGTACACTGATGCCCTGGCAACATCCATGCTATCGTTGTGTACCCTAGAAACACGGATACACATGCCCAGACTAGTAATCTTCCATTTTGATCTTTCCACAGATCCTTGGACCCCTGGACCATGATGATCAGTGCGGGAAGCAGAAACTGGCTTACAAACTAGAACAAGTCATAACCCTCATGAGCTTAGACAGCTGAGAACTGTCCTTCCAGGGCCATCCTGGAGGGAGGGACACACCAAGCCGTGCCTCGGTCTAGATACCATCTTTACCAAGTACAAGTTCCGACAGGCATCAACAGCAGCAACCCCCCCAAGTGCAAGTTCCGACAGGCATCAACAGCAGCAACCCCCCCAGCAGCGCCGTCTCTCCTTTCGTTTCTCTCCCTCTTCTGTCTCTCCCTCTTTCCGGAGTCCCACCTCTTTTAGTTGCTCTGCCAGTGTGATTGGATCACGTCACTGATCCCTCAGTCAGTCCAGGGATGGCCAGGCCCATGGTGAGAGACCAGACCAGAAGATATCAAAGAAGCTCTCCCTCCCGGCTGCTCCTGGCCCCGTGCATCAGCAGCAGGGCTCAGATAAGGATGAGGAGCTGAGGGCGGAGAACTTTCCTATGCTGCTACTTCACCTTCTGCGTTGAGAATCCCCATTGTGGTCCAAAACCTGGCTTCGGGAAGCAACTGTGAGCTCAGTATTATCTGAAGTAGGAGGCATCACTCGGATCTCCCTGTCCACACACTCAACAAGAGGCCAGGCAGTGGCCTGGGTGCTTTGTAACTGTGGGGAAAAGGCCTTGCCTCCTACAGATGTTGGAGTAGGGACCAGTGGAAGTTTAAGGATGCTCTCTCAGGGGCCACTGCCTACTTGTTTGGTGTCCAGCAGCCTTCCATCCCCTTCCAATATCCTTGGAGGCCTTCCAAGTATCCATCCTGACCTTTCTCCCCTTCCTGTGAAAAGTCAGACAGGGGAAAGCTAACAGTCACATTCCACTATGGAGATGCTCCTACGTCACCTAATCTGGTTCCTAATAGCAGAAATGTAACATGGAGAGAGAGAAGAGGAAAGAGAGTATCATCTATGCCAGAAGCAACATTTATTGTTCTCTATTCACCTCCAAGTACAAATGCATCCTGACAGTCGTCAGGGGTCCATTGCCAGAGCCTCATGTGTTGTCTAGAGAAGGCATCTCCATGCTCCTTTGTCACCATCGTCTCAGCTCACCGTGAAATGCAGAGTGCATCTAGGAGATTCTACCTCCGGCCGTCTCCAAGGCTCCATCCCCGCTGTCATTGAGAATGCCAGAGAAGGCCAGGGCAGACAGCCCAGCCCCTGTCCCCACTGCAGAATCTGGTGCCATTGCTATGCAGATGACTTTGTCACTGGACGGTCCAGACCTCTGTGGGAATTGTCTCATCAACATCTCAGCTGTCTCTTCAGTGGCTCGTCTTCCTCATCTCTTCTGACGTCATCGCTGGAGGAAACATACTTAAGCACAGCCTCTCCAAGACAAAGCAAGATGCCAGCCAGCCAGCCTCAGACACCAGCTTGTGCTTGGAAGGGACTGGAGAGCCAAGTGAGGGACCTGGTTGGATACAGAGAAAAGTGCATGCCACAAACCATGGCCTTGGCATTTATCTTTCCATTGTATTTTTCCATCTATGGATATGCCATTTTGTGTTAGCCAGTCAGGCAAACGTATGCTCAGAAATGTAACACGTGGTTATGACAAGAGGTGGTCTCCTAGTGGGTCCCCTAGTGGGTCTTGGGGACCTACAATCTTGAAGGGATCTTAGATAGTGAATGTTCCAGTCTCTATCATAAGCACGAATCCCTTTTGGCAGCTCGGGCTTATCCACCACTCACGGAGAAAAGAGAGGCATTGGAGAAGGGGCTGTTAATAGCGTTCTACATTCTTGCCTTCCTTCATGCTCCATGCTTAATGTTGTTTCTTCCATCACACAAAAGAAGTCTCACATGGAGAAGGAGCTATATCATGTCAAACCAAGTCCATGTGATATCCTGCAAACTTTAAGGACATGAGCCCCTTTGTGTATGAGAAAGCAAGGTTAAGGGAGGCGCTTAAAATTCTGCAGGAAGCATGGGAAGGCTTTTTTGTCCCATGTTGGAGGATGCTGAGATGGTCTCCTTCTCTGTCCCCTGGCTCATCTGTCCACCACTCAGTGTCAATATAACACTGAGTGTTAATGTCTGTGGCAAGAGCATTTTTCTGTCTATAGGAAATCAGGATGTCACCTGCCTGTCAAAGGGTGAACTTTGGCAACCCAGAGCAGGAGGCACCGTGTGGTTTTGCTGTGGACAAAATGGCAAAGACACACCAATGTAGCAAACAGGAAGAGAGGTCCAGGGAAAGGTGCATTGGAAGTGGGGAAGGGTGATGAAAAGAAAAAACAAAAACAAACAAACAAACAAACCCACCAGAGGTTTTGGCAAATCAAGTGCCAGGAGGAAACATGTAGAATTCTATCGCTGATTGTTGTTCTTCCTCCATGAAGCCAAGGGACCTGGCAGGCTTTGGGGTGCATGTGGGAGCAGGCTGAAGGAATTTTTTTTTGCACATATGAAAGGTTGGGGAGGACAGAGACATGAATATATTTAAGACAGGTTTGCCGGATGGAAGCTTTGTGTGTGTGAGTAGGTGCATGGGTGAGTGGGCTTTGATTTTTAAGTTTTGCACAGTTCGAGAAAAATGAGCAAGCAGCAAAAAGAGACTGTTACCATGGCTTTGCTGATGCTTTTTTTTTTCTGTATGATTTTACTGTTGTTATTATTATTTTGTCGGTACAGAATTTTTTCCTTGCTTTTGTTAACAAGCAAAACTTCAAACGCCTCAGAGACATACACTTATCAGGAAGAAAGAGGCGCGGACAGCCTCGCCTGTATTTCCTGGGTCACCTCATTTCTCTTGAGGGGGGCATTTTTCGGCAGATTATTTTACTTTAATTGGCAATGTGGGTTCTTCCTGGCACTTCATAGGCATTCCCTGTGGCCTGCTTGAGGACTCAGAAGTCAAGCCAATCTTACCTGTAAAAATCTTTCCTTTTGCTGTTTGCTTGTTTGTTTTCCATTTGTTTTTATTGCAAGTGTGATACATTTAAAACCAAGGCTAGGCAACATTGTCCGAAATCCATCAAATCCTCCCAGATATTCCTTCCCAACACCCCCTTGGGATTCTCTAGTTGCTTTTAGGCAGAGAAACTAGGACATGTGACAGAGTGGTACCTAGCCTTCTGCCCAGAGTTCACTTGTGGGGTATTGCAGACCTGCTGAAGGTGGAACCTGTATTTATCTCTTGGAGTTTGTTCAGAGGGTAGGTGTGAGGGAACAGGTATTCTCTCTCACCTCCGATTCACCTCACTTTTGCATCCTCCTGCTTCTGACCCCACTGATCAAAATGGTACTGATCACACATCCCGAATGACTGACCAGGTGAGGATTTGAATCTTGAAGGGAGAAGACTAGCAGGGCATAGGAGAAACCTGGGAAGCGTATCTGCAGGCTGGTTACTTCTCTGTGGCATTTGTCTCTCTAGGTGTGGGCGTGGTCTGGTCATGTCTTCATCCTTCCCTGTAAGGAGACACCGTAATGTTTCTTAGTGCCATGAAGTTGTTAGCTTTTGTGTCAGTAACTTCCTCAGGAAAATACTTTCTTGCCTTCTTCTTTCAACACAGTTTTTAACTTGGGGACAGAGAATAAACACAAAACACCCCTACCCTAAACCAAGGTACTTTGCAACCCTGTGCAACATGGCATGACCAGAGCCAGCCCCTGGAGCCTCCATATTGGGAGTCCACAGCCTTGGAGTGAGCTCAGGATGGGTGCCTGAGTGGGGACACATCTGGAAAGAGAAATGCTTTTAATGAATCCCACAGCTCAAGGCAGTGTATCCAGGATGATTTGAAAGATGCAGGAGTTGCTAACAGACAGAGTCTTTCTGTGCTTGCAGGTTCAGGTCCTGCTTAAACTGGCTTCATGTTGATATAATAATGCCCAGCATATCCAGCACCCTAACATTCCATTCTGGAGCTCCATGGTGCTCATGTACCACCCCATACCGATCCACCCACCCCAGTGTACATGTCTGACTCTTGAGTGTGCCCTACTCTGGCAGCTAGCTTCCTCCCTGTTCTTCCCTGTTCCCTCCCTCAGGCCAAGCACTAATTATGATACAGGAGTTATTCAGTTTATGAGGAGTGAGTGCTGCCCCACCCTAGCTTTGGCTGCTTCCCCTGACTCATAGGGTGTCCTCTCCTCTCCTCAATGCCCTGCAGGTCCTCCACTAGAGGAGCCACAAGCAATGGCATCCCAAATGATCTCTAAGATGCAAGGCTCTGCCACACTTTCTGGGACCCTGGGTGTTGCTACTGTAGTCCATCCTGGCCTAAGCACCTCTCATTTTGACATAAATAGGAGAACCTCCTTTCTGTCTTCAACCCTAGCACTCTCTGCCTTTGGCTTCACCAGACAGCAAGCAAATGCTTCATCTCGAGAAAGCCCAGTGCTCCTGTAATCAGGAATAAATTGCCCCCCTCTTCTCACAGAGAGCCCCAGAAACCAGGAGATGACTGACATTGAGAGGTACCAGCAGGTGGGGGAGACTCAGAGGTACTCAGCTTATGTCCCTTCCAAGGGCAGCACTGAGTGACAGTTCCAGCAAGCTCCTAAAGGAGGCTTGGTGTTCAGGGGCATTTCTGTGAATGAACCAAGGTGACCCTGTCCAGGTAGCTAGCTGTCCCGGCTCTTCTCTGGCTTTTCCTCCATGTTCCTCACCCACATCTAGGGCCTCCACACATCCTTTCAGGACAGGGGGACCCTGACTTCATAGCCCTTACCTTTGGAAAATAAAAGATATGGGATATTTGATTGGGGCTTTGTAGTTCATTAGTTTTTTTGGTTTGTTTGTTTTTTTTTTTTTGCCACTTATCTTAAGAACTTGAAAGTAATGAGGAAGCCTGGATGTGGATATTAAATGACTAAGAGGAAGAGTTAAGCAGAATATTAAATTTTTCCAGTGACTTCTAAGCAGATGAGGCGATCTTAAAGGTGAGCGTGAGAACTGCCCCTTCATTAGTAAAGAAAAGTGTTCAGAGATTCCTCCATGTGAGCTGTGAACATGCCAGGAGAAGCATCCTCGTGGCTGCTAATACCCTCACGCTTCCCCTGCCCTTTTGATAGACAGAGCCCACTCCGGATTCACCCCAGGGCATTCTGCATGGAACCAGCTCAAGCTTCATTCTTATAAGTGGGTGGTTGGGCTACCATTCCAGACGATGGTAAAGGGCCAAATCCCCAAAGAGGCTGGGATCTTGTAATCTTCTCCTGGTGCTCTGAGGGGGGGGTGGTCACACCATTCCTCCCATTTAGGAAGCAATCACTGCAGGAAATGTTTTCAATATTAGGAGAGACTTTCTGTTTTACTGCAAATCATTGCTCTTCAATAATATTGCTTTTTATTAGATGGAGCATCCAAGTTTAAAAAAAATATTTAAGTCTTTCGGTTGTAAAGGCAGAACGTCTTCATTGGCGTCCTGTTGGAATCCCTTGAGTAGACTGATGGCTAACAGGGCTGAGCAGAACAAGCAGTTCCCGAGGAGTGAGGAGAACGTCCTGTTCTAGCTCCTAGAAGAGATGGCAAGGGCTCTAAGCGGTGGGGTCTTTGCTTAGGGAGTCTCACGTCCCTCCTCTCTCTTTTCTCCTCCCTTTTCCTGGGCTCCTATCTAGTCCTGGCTTTCTGGGCTGTCTCTGGAATTGATGAATCCTTTATATTGTTTCTTGGCTTCCTTTAAACTGCACTGAAGCTCAGTTTTGGGGGACCCATGTTCTCCCTCCCCAATAACACAAAAGCAAGTGGACAGTCATTCAGCAAGTTTCTGCCTCTTTGCCCATTTCTTTTGTTGGTATCTTTAAACTTAAGACTCAAGCACATGTTGGAAGGGCTCCCTTATGAGTGTAGAGTTCAAAACAGCAGAGGGTACAGTTCAACAGCACCCCCAAAGACACTCTGAAGCAGAGAACACTTCAGCAAGCAGAACTGAGGAAGGTTCCTGTGCAGAGATCAGTTCCATTGGAGCAAGAGGCGAAGATGGGCTATGTGTCCTCATCTGTCTTCCCGTTCCTTCCCTGGCATCTTGTCAGCTTGAGGACTTAGGAAACCTTCTGTCCTTTAAAATGAAAAGCTAGTTTACCTCAAAGAATCTTGTTTCCATTTGGAAACCAATGACATGGCTTGAGAATGGATGATCCTCCCCACATCCCTCCTGGCCTGGACCTGGTGTCCTTCGGGCATGTGATCCTAGCTTAGTCCTGGGTTGGCTGCCCTGAGAAGGAACCAGGTTCCCAGGCCTAAACTGGGAAGGAAAGACTGGATGCAGCCTTCCTCCCCCACTTAGCCCACAGGAAACAGCCTCTTCCAGCAGGGTCCTGTGGAGTTACCATAGCAACCGGCAACTCCAGGTATCACAAAAGACAATGACTCCAAGAACTAAGATGTGGGAGAGAGCAGGGGTTCTGGCCTGGTCAGGGTACCCAGAATTAAGCCCCAGATGCTAGGAGGGCAAAGAAGGAGGAGAAATAGAAATGGACGCACTATTGGGTTAAGCACCTCAGGGGCCGAGCGAGTTTGAACGAGAGGCCACTGAAAGCGGCGGGACAGATCATTTCTGTTCTCATCACTTGCCCCTTTCCGGCGTGCCCCACTTCTGTTCCAAAACGCTCACCTTGAATACTGACCCTTCGAAAGAAGAAAGCAAAATGTATCTTTAGACAACAGTGTTACCCTGAGCCTCAAGGGCAGGTGGATGGGGTCTCTGAAAAAAAAAAAAAGGGTCTTCTGGTTTCGATTTTTAAAGAAGAGTATCCTAGTAAGATTTAAAAAAAAATTTAAAAAAGTTTTTAAAAGAAAACCTATGCTATTTAAATTGGAGCCCAGTTGTAACTTGGTAAAGGCAAGCTTCTGTACCTTTGTTATAATTAATTGTATACCTGTGTATGTAAATATAAGGCATTCCTATTTTGCAGTTCAGAACAAAAAAAAACTATTTGTAATATAGAATAAAGTTTATTAAAAAATAATAAAAATGCAGTTTGAGATTTGGAGTCTTTATGTGACTATGTGGGTAAGGTGGACCACAAGTAAGCAGTGCCCTCCTACATAATGGCACACGGCATCTCCTCTCTCCACTCATCTGAGAGTAGTCCTGCTACTTAAGACTTAGTTCTCACTTAAGGCAGCTGTCGGGGGTTTCCTCTGCATGTTTGAGAGAGTAAGTTCATGTCCATGATGTTGACAATGCTTTGCCAGGGACCTCAATCCCCGAATCCATCTCCTCACGGCCTTCAGCCCTCACTCTGACCGCCAGAATCACTTTGCAAAAGGAACCGAGCTTGGCTATTCTGCTCTTACTCTTCCTGGCAAGCTGCTCTCCAGTCTCTCCAGATGTAAGGCAGGGCCCCTGCTGGCCAGTGGAGACTTACTCACTGGGAAGATGGCCTCAGCCATAGTAAGTGGTGAGGCCATCTGGCCTTAGAAAGGGGCTGGGAGGAAGCAGCCACGGGCGTGCCTATGGCTTGACATCTTTGCCTTTCACCTCCAGGGAGTTGTACTGGAACACCACAGAACTACTGAAAAAGAAGATGAATGAGATTGGGAGGCAGCAACTCCTAGCAGACACAGACAGCCAGGACAAGCAAGTGACACAGACAGACCTCAGCAGTGACTTTGTGAGCAGAGGGAGACATGTCTGTGGCCTCCAGTCCTGGGAGTCGGTTGCTCAGACTCAGCCAGGAAAGTAGCTAGTGTCAGGGAGGATGTTCTCTTAGTAAGCAAAGAGGCTGTGTAGGAGCATCTAGATTGAGATGCTCCACTCCAGCCTAGCCCCGCCACATCCCTGGCGGCAGATTTTACCAGTATAATCTCAAGTTTCACCAGACCCCACCACCATGACCTTGAGCAGCCAGACACTTCATGGTACCTTTGCTTCTTTATTCACAAAGTGAGGATTGTTCTAATTTTGCCATGAAGCCCGGAAAGGCTTTTTAGTTGGGTTTGGATAACTGATTGAAAAGAGATCGGATGGTCTGCAAAAGGCCACACAAACACGCATGGTTTTATTAGTCATGAAAACAGCCCTGAACAAGCACAAGTGGGTCAATCCTAGAGCCCCAGGGACATGTAGAGTGGCTGCCTTAGGCCCCCACTGGAAAACAAAATAAAACAACAAAACAGTAAATACCTCACACCTTGTGAGCAAATACTATCATTAAACTGGGACTCTTAAAGGCGGTAGCCGCCCCTCAGTTGAATTTACCCCGGCTTAGCTCGGTGACTCACTCAAGGAGATGCTCAGTCAACTGTGGATGAATTGAAGGAGGGAGAAAGCTGTCGAAGTACACAAAAGTAATCAGCAACGGAACTGGTCACTAAGCTGTCTTCCCACCATTAACACAGGGGTCATCATTTTCCACAATGGACCACACATCTCATAAATACTTTACCTTTAGGATGAGAACCTCAGCTGGGTGTTGTCTTTTACAGGTAGAGAACAGGTATTGTAATCAAATTATCAGAGTTGCTCCTGGCCTAGCAGAGGGAATGGAGGCCTGGGAGGGTCCTTTTAGCACCTTGCACCTCCTCTAAACCCACCTGGCTTCTGTTCGAGTGAAACGCCTTCCTTGAACATAGAGGCAGAAACTGTAGGGCTGCTGAGAGAACCCACTAGAACTAAGGACACACGTGTGATTTTGGAGTCCTTCCTAGAGACAACTGCAAGTTTATGTATCTGTTCCATAGTTTCCACCTTCCCTCTCTGGGGGAAAAATACAATGTCCCATGCCGATAAAGTGCATCTGGCCCACAACTTGCTTCCAGAGAGCTGAATGGGATAAGCACCTGCAGCGCTCTAGGGAGCAGCCTGCCCCATCTACCTGGACAGAGAGTCACCAAGTGATCCTGGTAGATATCCAGATTGAGTTCAAACTAAATCTTTGCTTCTCCGTGTCACTAGAATGTGCGAGTTCTTGCTCCTGAGGCAAAATAAAGCCCATCCAACTGCTGCTGGGAATAAGATTTTCTCTGAGCAAAGCAACCGATGAAATTAGCACTTTGGCCTACAGAGAACAGAGAATGATTCTTTTGGTCAAGATTTTAGATTTTAGGATGTGAAAACTAGATTTTAGCATTCTCTTGCATCTCTTTTGGGTTTCTCTCTCTCCCTTCCTCCTTTCCTTCCTTCTCTCTCCCTTCCCCTCTTTCCTCTCTCCTCTCCTCTCCTCCCTACCCACTTCTTTCTTTGACAGGCTCTCACTACTTTGTTCAGGCTAGCCTCAAGCTCATTACCTTACTGCCTGTGCCTCCCAAGGGCTGAGATTTCCAGTACTTGGCCTACGTCTATTAAAAATCTAACATTGACTATTTGCTTATGAGATGAGTCCATTTTTTTAATGTTCCTAATTTTCCTGAACTGGGCCTGGAACAGAGACAGACTGAAAGGAGAACACGAAGAGAATGAAGGAGTGGCGGGAGACAACTGGCCAGGGAGACGTGGGGTTTATCAGGCAAGGATGAATGCAGCCAGGGTTCCAAAAATAACCTAGGTTTCTGGGCATTTTGATCCTGATCCTCAATTGGAAGTGGGGAAGCAGATGGCTTGTCTCACTCAGGGACAGAGACCTTACTGTGCCTTCTTATTCAAGCGCTTCAGGAGCCATGGTGTAATTGTCACGTCCAAGAATCTCACCAAGCACAAATGGTCACTCAAATGGCACAGAAATAATATTAAGAAACCCCAGTCACAAGATACATGTCTCTTAAAAGTAAAGACCTCAAGTTTTGGGGGAACATGCAGTTTGCCAAAAGGCACAAGAGCGAGCTTAAGAAGATACAGGCAAACAATGCCAAGGTCAAGAGTACCAAAGACATTAAGCCCTCACTTCATCAAACTCAAGGAAGTAGAGCCCAAGGTCCAAAAGGGTGGCGACCACATGCTCCACCACCTCACCCACTCTAAGCCTATGAACCAAGTTCATGCTCACATGGCCACAGATCACTGTACTGTCCAAAGACAGAGGCCCAGGCATACTTCTCTGGGTCAGACCAAGATGCCATTGGAGGCTCCCAAAGGTGTCCAGGCCTCCGGGAAGGTCACAGAAAAGGCTGGACACATGGATGAGTGTGACGATGTGACTCCCTGCCTTCAGCGGCCTTCTGAAGGTGGTTAGTATCCTGAAACTGAATGCATCTCAACACAGTAGTTGCCTCTCCTGGCTCTTGCTGAAAGAGTGACACCTAAAGAGATGCTGCCTGCTTCTAGGAAAGGCCTGATGGTCTTCCTAAGACACCAGGGAGGCTGATGGTCCTCCTAAGACACCAGGGAGGCTGACCATCCTCCTAAGACACCAGGGAGGCTGACCGTCCTCCTAGGACACCAGGGAGGCTGACCATCCTCCTAAGACACCAGGGAGGCTGATGGTCCTCCTAAGACACCAGGGAGGCTGATGGTCCTCCTAAGACACCAGGGAGGCTGATGGTCCTCCTAAGACACCAGGGAGGCTGATGGTCCTCCTAAGACACCAGGGAGGCTGATCGTCCTCCTAAGACACCAGGGAGGCTGATGGTCCTCCTAAGACACCAGGGAGGCTGATCGTCCTCCTAAGACACCAGGGAGGCTGATGGTCCTCCTAAGACACCAGGGAGGCTGATCGTCCTCCTAAGACACCAGGGAGGCTGATGGTCCTCCTAAGACACCAGGGAGGCTGATCGTCCTCCTAAGACACCAGGGAGGCAGAATGCATCCTTATTCCCCGACTCTTCCTGGGCATGTGCTGATAAGGATCTTCCCACCCATTCCTTGTAGGAGCCATGGTCTGGGCTGCACTCTAATCATTCCCATTATACAACCCCAAACTCTGCTAGGTCACGAGGGAGGTGCACTCAGCCCTTGCACTAGGAATATATTTTCCAGCCTAGGGCACACCCTGTTTCCTCAAGCCAAATAACCTCAGATATCCCCGAGTGGGCGGTCCTCTGACTGCTGCACTGTGCTTTTCATTCCTTCCCCCACTTCAGTTTGTCTTCTGAGCTTTGAATTCCCACGAGCAATACAAACTTAACTTGTCACCCCTGCTACCACAAAAGCTACATTTGCAGCCCACCCATGCATGGACTACCACCTCTAGGCTTTGTCCCATGTTTATACAAATAGGTAGGTAGATAGATAGATAGATAGATAGATAGATAGATAGATAGATAGTCTTGAATAAAGACTACAACTAGGGCCTGGCTCAAATATACCCTGGACTGACTAGATCTTTCTAGAAAAAGTCCCTAACAACCTGTAACCCTGATTGTTTTGTCTTTCAAGATGAGAACAAGGGCTTCTTTCTCATAGGATTGTCGCAAAGTGAGGTAATGATTAGAGTACTTAACACAGGCCCTGATACCTTGTAACTTCGTGGCAGGTGGCAGCTTCTTTTACTCTGGAGAACACACTCCTGAAGAAGAACCTTGCAGGCCCGCCCTCCAGCCCCAGTTCACGGGGCAGCACTTGGCACATAGTAGTTGCCCTGAAAACATGCTTTAAAAGAACAGATAAAATTAAGCAGCAGTAAAAATTTCCAGCAGTATAATCTTGATCTTGCAATCTAAGAATATGTCAGCTTCCCAGAGGACTTTGGAAATGATAACTTAAGATTACAAGTACCAGAGTTCCCAAACTAGCACCAGATACAAGGGCTTGTGAGCAGGTGGTCCCGAGGAAGGGAAACAGAGAAAGACAAACCCATTCGAAGTGCCCCCCTAGTGCCCCCCTAGTGCCCCCCTACTACAGGCAGCAGGAAACCACTCCCCCGGATCTGTAAACATTGTAGAATGCCCCTTGGGGTGACTCTCATTCCTAACTGCCTAAAGACTGCCCGGTGGCTATTTATTCATTACTACCTATAAGTGAGCATGTTGGAATGGCTAAGTGGCTTCCCCAGGGACTTCATCAATTGGAGCTAAAGGACGGAAGGGAGATACAGCTTCCTTAAAGCAGATGTTGCCAAACTACAGATGAATGACAGCGGGTTGGTGTGGGGACA